TTCACTAGTTTGCCAGTAATTACTCCAAAAGGTTGCAGTGTGAGATAAATTATTAAAAGAAAGGAGAATGAATTTCCAAAAGGGAAGATTCAAGGTTTTCACTTGTTTCCCAGTTGAGAGATCCCTCTTCACAGAAAACTATGCCTTAGCCATCATAAACAAATGAAGCAAACGTTCTGTGCTATACAAATATTAACTTAAAAACAATCACCACTTCAGTGGCTTGTTCCCTGCTTCTCTAGTCCTTGATATAAGGTCACTTAGAAATACAACAGTTTACTAAGATACAGCACCAGAAGACTCAACACCACACTGCCCCAAACTCATCATTTTATCAGCTAGAACAGTAAAAAACCAACAGTATAACCACTATCACACAGCTTCTTTCCACATATACTAGGGCAAAGGAAATAGAGAAAGTTACAGCACAAGAGCAGTAATGTGTCATGTTTAACCCCTCCTATTCAAAGCTTTAACCCCTCCTATTCAAAGCTTTAAGACACAGAAAAGCTCAAGAGTAGTCCATTGCCTTTTCTAAACACAGCAAGGAGACCAACCACTACTTTATATCCAGTTTGGGTACTTCTGGTTGCAAGTTGCACAGGATATTACCCAGTTTCTTCCATGTAAGTCTCTAGCATCTCATCTCCGCTTTTGTAAGCAAGGCGCTTGCTGGTGGGAAGGTTATAATGGAAAAAACTGCACTGAATTAATGACAAGAGAGTTTCACTTCCTCCAAATACAATCAGCCTAGTCCTTCCCATAAACTAAAGTTTTCAGGGGCAAGATCATCACCCTCTTGTGCTATATTCATAGCACGCTAGGATATTCCTCATCTCTAATTAGGCTTAACATCTGTATCAGAGGCAAATAATAATTATCGGATAATCCTGTGAAATCCAGTTCAGTAAAGTTCACCCACAACCTGATTAGCATTCCCAATATGTGACAAAGAAAACCAAACCAAAACAACAAAAAAAACCCTCATGCTCATTTCTAGGACACTACTTCTTTTACTTTCTTTGTTGTTCTTTGATGAAGATTACTCCAAGTCCAGTGGCACTGGAAGAGTATGTAAGTTTACAACTACCTGTTGACCACATAATGCTTTTATCACAAAAGTGTAGTACCCCATGACAATATGCAAGCTCCAACCCTCTTATCTGCTCCAGATGGTTGTTCAATCATCTCCCATCTTCTTTTAGTAGGGGACCAAGTCCCAGCTCTTTTTTTAAGCAATTCTAGCTTAATGAACAAGCAGAGATATAGATTTCTGCCTCTTTGGTGGTATACTTCCAATGGGACAAATATTTAGTACCTCTATAGGTTGCTCCCTTGAAAGGGGGCGGGGGGGGGGGG